ACTTTAATATCGCGAACAAAGAGGACGAAATGATCGTGTTGCCTTTAACAAAGGAGAGAGGAGGCAGCGCCCATCGCGCCGACGACTCACCTGCTCTTTCGCCGCGGAGGCGAGGATCGCTTCTCAGAGAGGAGAGGCACCATAGGTAATGCAGTCTTTACTCATCCGGCTGTTGCCGGCGTTGTAGCGACCTCGTTCCATCAACTTCTACGTTCCCCCTAGCTAGCTATCTCCTTCGTTTCCTCTTTCTCTTCTCTCCGCGCGCTACCTCTCTCTCTCTCTCTCTCTCTCTTCCTCTCCCTCGCTCGCCCTCAGCCCTCAGGAAAACTCAACCCCCTACCGCCCGGTTCCAATAAGGCTGCCGCCTCCACCTCGTTTCCACCTCTTGGTCTAGTTGGTGCTCTCCCTCTCTGCTTTTCACCCTCTGCTTCTCTCATGTGCTCACTCCCCCGACTCCATCGCTCTTTCTCTCTCTTTCTCTTTCTCTCTCTCTCTCCCTCTCTCTCCTGCGCTCCCTCAAGCAACCCTCCAGCGTACCCTAAAGCTCCGCTTCCACCGGAGAGCCAAGGCTCTCTCGCGCTCTCTTTGCCACGGCATTGTTGCTATCGATTCGGACTTGGAAACGTGTTTTTCTTCGGATATTTCGTGGCTACCGTCGGTTACGACCGCCGCCGCTCGACCGGATAACGAGGATTCTAGGAAGGCGGTGTGTGTGTCCAACCCTCGTTTACCCCTTTTTCGCCGTCTCTTTCTCCGTCTCTTGGAGTTTCCGCGTTACCACCTCCGCGCTCGTTATATTTTCCCCGCTTAAATGCACCGCGCCTTTCGCGCCCGCGATAAATATTTGGTTTTACGCGCGAATTTCATGCGTTTACTCCACACACACACACACTCGCTGCCACTTACATTTTTTTTACTTTCCCTCGAAAACCGCTTATCTCACTTCTTTTATATTTGTGCGTTCGCGATGTTTGCGTAAAAATTAATTACAACTGCAAAGGCGTTCTAAGTCGCTGTAAATAATATAGATCTTATCGAATATCATCACAACGAACAATTTAATTCAGTTCATTTGTTTAATTATAATTTCTCAAATTTTCTTTCTCTTTCCTCGTTGTGCTTTCCGCGCTTGAAATCTGTGTAGTAAAATTATAAACTCGCGCGGGATGTACACGCGAAAAGAATATCACGAATAGTTCGAATTGCAGTCAATTGTTTTTGTCGCGCTGCAAATTGCTTGTTTTACTTCATCGATTTTTGGTTATTTTGCTCCCGGTGTCCGTCTCTATATTGGAGCACGAGTCGCGATCTGACAACTCGATACGGATAAGTCGCCGGCGGAGTTTGACGCGATGAGAAACTCCCATTAGACTCGATGGCCGTAAGCTGCGTTCCGTCAGAGATAGATTCGAACCACTTTCGTCGTCTTTGTTACGCCGAGACGTTCGCCGACTTAGCTTCGATTGTTCCGCAAAGGCCATTGAGGAACCTGTGCCACTTTACGAAGCTGACACGTCGCAGCAAATAGACAACCGGGACGCCCGGCGGCGAAGTAAGGAAATCGCGCGAGAGATTTCAACGAACGTTACGATATTAAGCTGCGCGTTCTAATGCTAACTGCACTTCGCGCGACACTTGCAACATTTTATCAAATACTCGAATTTGTATGTGGAATAGTTCAAAGAAATCTATTAAAAGTCCGCTTCAATTACAACGAGGTTTTATTTGCGATATAGTATTGTTTGCAATAAACACGTGAAATCTGATTAAATATGAAAAAATGGTTTTTTATACATGTTTAAACTTTAGTATTTAAATTTTTAGTATTTATCGCGAAACACTGTTTCACGTTTAGAAATTACGTTTAGAAATTTGAAAAATATTTTTATGAAAAATAAGAATTTATATTCCATTGACTTTCATAAATGTTACTTCTTAATTTTATCCTGATAAAAGAGCTCGATGTTGAAACATCGAAAATATTTACACATTACTTTTACACGGAATTATATTTCCGAACTTGATTGATTAAGTTTGGACTACGCTCGTCCCGTTCAGATTGAGGTCGAAGCGCGTCGGAGACTTCAACGATCGCCCATACTTTCGCCGGTGCGCACGTACGTGCAATCCGTCGATGCGTCGCGACGGCTCGCGAAGAGTGCGAGACCATTGTCTCGCAATTTATTCGCCGTTCATCGCGCCCCCGTAACTCTCGATTTCGATGGGCCGAGACCGATTAAGGTGTCCCCCCGCGCTGTCCCCTGCGGCCGGCAGTGTCGATATTACCGAGGGCTTAACTCGATCGAACGGCGATTTAACATTTCACCCTCGCTGGCTTGCGCGACGTATGTGACGTCCATTGTCCTTCGGGGATTCCGATAAAAAAAGAAGGAAAAATGATTTTCATGCACGAGTCGCGGTGAGAGCTGGAAGAATTCTGCGAGCGACGCGATTTTAAATCGATTGTGCATAAAAAGGTAAGTGATGGCATTATGTTATCACATCGTGATGTTCTGTAATGCAATAATAAATATCAGCAGTCTTTCAGCATGATCATAATAAATAGAAAATGACTTTTCTTCTCTTCTTCAATTATGATTTCTGGAAAAGTGAGCATTTGCAGCGAAAGGATATTTTTTTTTTCACTGCAGATATAATATAATTATAAAAGTATTTCTCAATTCAAGTTGAACGTTGTTATGCAATATCATTTATTGAAAAATTTCTCATTCTGTATTGACAAAGATGATTTGCATGCATCTTTCTCAGATACTTCAACAGAGCAGGAAATGAGGGCGACGTTCTATGGCTTTGGCCTCTCGGCTTCCTGGAATATTGCGATGGTGTTTTCGAGAATTTGCGAAGAACACCTCGAGGATCCGTCGATATCGATCGCAGCTGCACCGAACAAACAGAACTATATCGTAGAGCCGTTTACGAACTTAAACTCGAACTTCCGCGCGACGCTTTTTCACTGCGACTTCGGAGCACGAGGTAATTTAATGAATATTGGTCAAAAATTAAATAAATATACGTTTGTGCGTTCCTGTAGCAGCTGGATAACAAAATTTCAATCGCGATGTTATGGCAAACGTGCGTTTCAGATTAATTTATTTTGAGTTTTCTCGCAATTTGAAAAGTTTGTCGTGAAGAACGCGAAAAATAAGGACTTGCAGTATCCGAGGATACTATTTTACGTTACAGAAATGCATAATATTCAATTAAATTATACAAAATCAAGTGATATCACATTATAATTAATATGATAGTAAAAAATTCTTCGTTTCGCGCCATTTCGAGAGAATACGGTCGAAACGCACGCGTCGAACATTTGCGGAGTAAGCTGGCACGAGACTCGATCTCTCGTGAGACTCGAAATTCGGCGGAATCGCCGTGCGCGGCGCGATCGACGGAGGGCGGAAGCGCGAAGGGTGAAAATGGGGAGAGAGAGGACTCGGGTGGCTCGTCAGCTCGGCTATTGCAATTCGTATCGCGAGTCGTGCGGGAAGATCTCTTATTTTCTCGTTGAATCCGACGAAACCTACCTATATCCCGGAGCGTCTACTCTCGTTCCGAGCCGCCATCCCTTCCTTTCTCTTCCCCCCTCGCAGCAGCGGCAGCAGCCGCCAGTCCTTCTCGTGTTCTCTCGACGTCCGACTCTGGCGGCT